GCCGGGCCTGCCCCTCGGCGCCCAGCCCCAGCTCCTCCTCCCCTGAAATGGATGTCAGCTATACCCACGCGGGCAGATCGACTTGTGTTTTCCCTTTGAATCATAGGATGTGTGTCAGTGCGATAAAATAGGACTAAGACGCCGGCGTGTGGGGCAGAACCTAAGAAGTACCCCGCCGAGCGCAGTGCGGACCAGGGCCCGAGGGCTCCGCCCGGGTGCATGGCTCCGGCGCCTCGCCGAGGAGGAGGGACTTCCGCTCCCAGATCGTGGCTCCGGGGATAGCGTTCGGCGCTCTGCCTGGCTCGCGGGCGGAAAATCCGAGGGCCTCGGTGCCCAGCCGTTGAAGCCAGGCCCGAACGCCCTAGCATTTCCAGGAAAGTGTGTGTTGGGGATTGGGTCAGAGTCGGTTTGGAGGAACTGAAGGTGGCCCCAGCTGTATTTGTTCCAAAAGAGGCTCTGAGCGTTCCGAGTCTGAGTGAGGGAGAACAGGTGGCGGGCGGAGCCTCCCTGGGCCGGGCACAGAGGGCAGGACTTCATCGCCAGCTCGGCCCGTGCTCTTGGCTGTGTTATCTAGCTTTCCCGCACATGGCCGGACAGGCTGTAGGGCGTGGAAGCGGATTAGTAACCAGAAAAAGGCAACCGTTTCCATTGGGTTTTCTCTGAGACATTTACATGCCTCTGAGATAGTATGAAAAAAAAGCAGGTAGGAAGCTGCAGGTCTAAAGAAACTGTAGCTCCCCAGCTCAAATGCAGTACTGAGGGTTCCACCTAGGGCCCCCATGCTGAGCTCCATACCCAGCCCCCCTCCCTTTACTTTTTTATTTAGTGGCTGGGTCTTGCTAAATCATGGGACGCAGAGTGCTGGGCTTACAGGTGTGGCCAGGCTAGCATGCCTTAGTTGGGCCTGAGCAAAGTCTTAAATTACCCGTACCTTTCCTTTCTAGGCCTATACTTGGGGTTGATAAGGCCCCATAACTCCCAAATTCCTCAGGATTTTTTTTTTTTTGGAGACAAGGTCTCTGTAGTCCAGAATGGCCTCAAAGTCATGGCAATCCTCCTGCCTCAGCCTCCCGAATGCAGGGATTACAGGAGTGTGCCACCATGCCTGGCTCCTCAGAATTTTAAGGATACTATAAATCTATACGTTCCAAAATTTGGCCCAGTGTAATGCCCCCCGGTTTGTAATCCCAATACTTGGGAGGCCAAGGCAGGAGAATTACAAATTGTAGTCCAGACTGGGCTAGATAGAGACACCTGGTGTCAAAAATCAGAAATAACAACAAAAATCCAAATTTCACCAGGACTTCAGTTTCCTAAGGAGATAGTACTCATGTGTCCATCCTGCTGCTCACAGGCCACACACTGCTTGACAGCATGTGATGAGACTTCCAGTGTTAGTGGCTTTAGACATGTCTTGACTCTCCTGTGAGGTGCTGTGACCTACGACTGTAAGTTATAGAGGATGGTGAACCCCATGGCACTGGTGTGGAAATTTTGTGATGGGGTTACAGGTGCTTGTGTAATTTGGGGAGCAAATGCAGCAATCACTGCAGTATTATTACAGTCACCTGCACATGTGCATCTGTGAAGACAGGTGCTGTCCTGAGCAAACAGGTGTTAATTATTAAACGTGGGTTTTTGCTGCTTCATGAAAGTATTTAATAAGTTAAAATACTTTTTTTTGGCAGCTGTGGCATAGGAAGTACCATGATGTATCAAATCTTTTTTGTCCATGATATTACTATTGCATATACAATACTGCTAGCAGTAGAAAAAAGACTGCTGATTTGTTCATTTTTATACTCCAGCATGGAAATTTTGTTCCTTATATACATTAACCACTTTATATACAATTCCTCCTCGCTCATTTCAACCCAGGCAAGCCAAAGCGTGGACACCTGAACCTTACGTGGACAGAGCTACTGAGTCGGTACCATGTTGCTGAACTTCGAACACACATGAACTGCTTGTATTTTAACCTACTTGATGAAGTCCGTTTTAGTTTTAATTTACTAAAGGGCGACAGTCTGTCTTTAAGTGAAAGAAACAGACACCAGAGAAATGATTCCAAGACTGTCTTCAGGCAGGCAAAACATCCCAGATCCTCTGGTTAGAGGACTCTCCAGGTCCGCATAGATCCTCAAACCCAGACAAGCACCCACTCCAGTGCCCACAATTGTCACCCTCTGAGTGTGCCCTGCCTCTCTCTGACATTGGGGCTTAGTGAATGCCTTCCCCTCTCTAGAAGGACTTCCTTGGACCCACCTGTGACATTACCTCAGGGGAAATAAATCATCCTTTTAACCCCTGTAATACTTCTTTCTGTCCTTTCTTACTCAGAAATTACAATTTCTTTTTTGCCTCCAGGACATTGTCTAAACCATTTAATACACAGGCCTAACAGCAAGATACAAATTTTATTAATAAAATGTTTTTGTTTTAAAATAAATTCCTAGCCAAACATGATATAGTGGAACACGGGGAGCTTGAGGAAGGAGTATCACCAGGAGTTGGAGGCCAGCCTGGACTACACCATCAGACCCTGTCTCAGAAGAAAATAAACTCCTAACATTGTGAAATGGGAAGAAAGGGGCTAAAGGTGTAGGGAAGGTAGGATGGATAGGGAAGGGTAATAAGGGAAAAGAAAAAAATGTGAGATAAAGAAAAGATGGAAATAAAGTGCTTGTAGATGGGGAGGGGTAAAGGGAGGGCAGGGACAAGGGGAAAAAATGAGAACCAAGACCTGTCATGTAGAGTTACAAGATCCCAACAATGAATGTAACTGTACTGTATCCCTAAAATGTACCAATAAATTCAATTAAAGCTAAAAAAATAAAAAAAGAATAAGCTCCTAGCTGGGCATGGTGGCACACACTCGTGCATAATCCCAGCCCTGGAGACAGACATCAGTCCATCAAGGGACCTTTGGGGTGGAACAGGTGTGTATCCTCATGGTAGTGTTGGTGCTGTGATTATCAAGACATGATAAAATGGTACAGAACTAAACACACACCAGTGCATGTAAAAATGGTGAAAACTGAATAGAGCCAGTGGATAACATCACTGTCAATTTCCTGGTGGCAAGCACCTGCAGTTCAAGCTATTCAAGTAGACTGAGGCAGGAGAAATCTGAGGCCAGTCAGGGCAACACGAGATGGGTCTCCAAAAAAAAAAAAAAGTAGTGGGAGAGACTGAATGAAGGACACAGTAAATTCTTTTAAAGATTGTCTCTCTTTTTCCTGTTTTCTATACTGGTAGCCGAACCCAGGCCCCACACTTGCTGAGTTTAACCTCTGAGCTCACGCGGCCCAGACCTGCCTGCCGGCGCCGCTGGGTGTCAGACACGCGAGACAGGGTGCCGCCCCGGTTTCCTCCGGCCCTTTCTTTCTCTTCTGCCACAAAAGCTTTCCTGTACCCGGCGGAGCCCGGGGAGGTTCCTCACCTGTTTCCCGGGACCTGTCCCCTCCTCTGGGTTTCATGACTCTGGTCTTTCTTTGACCCGCGTTTGGTGAAACTGTTCTCAGAAGGTTCCCGAGTGGAAGGGAGGAGGCGAGCTCTTCCGAGTGCTGCCGAGGCCCTGTCGCGTGTGAGGATCGCGCCGCGGGCGCAGTCCGGCTGTGGAAACACTGCCCCGTGAGGTGGTGCGCCCCGCGAGGAGGATGCCGTTCCAAGCCCTAATCCTGCTGTGCGACCTCCTGGTTTCTGCCGGGACTTCTGCTCCCCGGCGTGGGCATGGGTCTCGTCTCGCGGTCTGTGCGAGCTGCGGATTTGTCTTTAGTCCTGGGCGTAATCTTGCACAGTCTCCATGGCTGCCCTTCACGGTCGCCTCTCCTTCGTGGAAGCCCCAGCAGTTTGATTCCCCAGTTTTCTATCCTCCCCTCCTATCTAGAATGCTACAACGTAAAAATAATTCTGCCATCAAACTAACAGTTTTTCAAGCTTTCTTCCCCGCGCCTGTTTAGTGAGGGCGCTTCCTTCTCTTGCCTCCCAGACGGCCCGACGTTTTGAATCCAGGTATTCGCTCCGAGTTTCCAACTAGACGCCCCGGCCCCGCCCGTCCTGCTCCTTCCCCGCGGGCATCTACTCAGCATCTACGGTGGAAGCACAGTCTGCACGGTGAAGAATACCAGCCCCAAATTGGCCCCCTAGTGTCAGGATGGCCGAGTGGTCTAAGGCGCCAGACTCAAGTTCTACTTCCTCTCGCTGGGGGTTCTGGTCTCCGTATGGAGGCGTGGGTTCGAATCCCACTTCTGACACGTTTCCCTTTTTTACATTATTTTCCTTCTCCCCCTTTGATCTCTTCTCACGCTGCCCTTTCTTTTCCATCATAGGAGGCAATTGCAGTGCGCTCGGCTTCGCCTACTTCGTCAGAACCGTGGCGTTGCCCTCGCGTTTACCGGTCTGGAGATGGGGACAAGGGGACAAGGGATACACGTGGCCTGCGCCCGTGCCACCAGCGCTCACCGAACCCGTCCTTGTGGCCAGAACCTTGGAAAAGTAGAGGTGGCTTGGTTCTCCATGCGGGAGAAGAAAAAAGGAATAAGAAAGGTTCCACCGAGATTTGAACTCGGATCGCTGGATTCAGAGTCCAGAGTGCTAACCATTACACCATGGAACCCGCATTTACGTACGACCCACTCGCTTCCCCTCAGCCTTCTAGTTCCTCCCCAGCCAGTCGCCGCGCAGGCTCAGGCGCGAGCCGGCCCTTCCTTCCCCTTCCTTCGCGGTCTCGGCAGCCAACTCCCTTCGCCGGAGGCTCCGGGCAGCGCGAGTCCGATCCGGAAGGATTGGACACACCGGATTTGAATCTCATCATTTGAAAGAGGGCAAAGTACACAGATCGCCTTCCTTTCTCCTGGAGCGTCAGGCCTGGGTTGTATCAAAGCTGGAGTAGCATCTGGGGCTCGAACCTTGAACGTCGTCCCACCACCCCGCCCTGTCGGCAGAGACCGCTCTTCCCTCCATCCTCCTGGGGACATTTCCGCGTCCAGAGGGCCCATGAGTGTCCGTGACCAGGCGAGGACGTCATGGTGCTAGACGGGTCCTCGGTTCCTACTCTTGGTCTTAAGGGGAGAAGGCATCCAAGGCACCGTCGATAGCGGCGGTGGGGAGTAAGCCTGTGCTGCGCGCGGGCCTTTGGTATCCCGCGGTCGAGTGATCAAGGTCTGCTGGAATCATCTTCTGGCGTTTGTCCTTGTGTTACACTGCCACCTGAGCTAGGTGCTGCAACAAAATAGCTGCTCAGTAAACAGGTCAACCGAATGTGGGCGGGCGGCGGCGAGCTCGAAGGCTGCTGGCCAGGTGTTATGGAGCGCTGCCGGGGTCCACTCTCCCTTCTGCCTGGGAGTCTCGGCCCGAAATCATCGCCGCTGGCAGCGTCCTCGGCGTTTTATGTGCCACTCCCTATTAGAAAGCAAGCAAGGGGAGAAGGAAGGAAGAGACGGAGGGACGGAGCGAGAAAGGGAGATGGAAGGCGGGCAGGCTGGAGGTACGACTGTGCGCTCAGTGCAGCCACGTGGGCGCCTGGAGTCTGGCTGGGGCAGGGCCCCGCTGGGTACCTCGCTCGTCTCCGCAAGTCGGGAAGACGTTCTTTGGTGGATTTATGCACTGAAAGTTTTAGTGATTTGGGAAGAAAGAAAAATGGCTCTGTATTTGGCAAAACGTATGGTATGTGGAGAAAGGCAGAAATTGAAAACTTCAGACGCCTGGGCAGGTGCTGGGTACAGCAGAGTAGCGAGGCAGTCAGGGGCTGTGCACTGTAGATTGTGATTTATAACCCTCGCATGAGTTAATGAAATCACTTATTTATAAACATCCTCTTCTTCCAACAGCCCTACTTAAAGTGTAGATAGTGGCCTCCAGTTCTGCGGCCCCTGCGCCACTCGGGAGCTGCTGCGCGCCCACGCGGGACGGCGCCAGGCCTCGCCCTCTGCGGAAGGACAGGCAAGCGAAATGTTGGGCCTCAGTGGTGACCCCACCCCGCCAGCATCCGAGGAATCTTGCAGGCCGGAGGACTGGCCCGGGACTGGCCGGGCACGCCCTGGGTGCTAGTGTTAAAATGCGCGAGCGAGAAGCCCCGCGCTAATCGGTCACCTGCAGATTCAGGGAGTGGAGGGCATTGCACGTGTCTCTCGCAGCTTTGGAGATGGCGAGGGAACCCTCAAGTAGCAGGAGGGGAGGAACCTTGCAGGCCCAAGACAGTACAATTACCGTCTAGAAAAGGACAGACCGAATGGGAAAATATTGGCAGCGGTGGGATTCGAACCCACGCCCCCGAAGAGACTGGAGCCTTAATCCAGCGCCTTAGACCGCTCGGCCACGCTACCACCTGAAGAGCTTTTGCACTCCCTCGGTTTCCCCCATCGTGGGCTCCCCGCGCGGAGAGCCCAGTCGGCGCTGGCAGTATTTGCTACGAAGGACGAAGGTCGCGCAAACCCAGCTTGGAGGGGAGCCTGGGATTCCGCGGTGAGCGGGTCTGCGCTGTCGGCGCGGGTTCAAACTCGGTTTCGCCTCATTAAGAAACTTTGGCCCCGGGCACAGTAGGTAGGTGGCGCAAGCCACGTAGTATCTGCCTCCTTAGCACAGCAGGCAACGTGTCGGCTCCATAATCTGAAGGTGTTAAATTTGAACCATAGGAGGGTTAATACTGTTTAGCCTTTGTAAAAAACGAGAACCAACCTACAAGCCCCGGTACTACAACCGTCTTCCTTTTCTCTCTCTGAGATTGAACGAGTCGTTTGCAGTGTAACTGATCCGTGTTCAGACCGGTGAATTTTCACAATGGTGAGGATACTCACCATTTTCCCTTTTTAAAAATACCACCTGGACACGGAGCTGTGAGAGTTTCCATATGCCTCTCAGACACGATTGTCATCTGCCTCTGTCACCAAACACCGACGTCAAGAAGGCCAGTTCTGAGCCCCCTGTAATTCCAGCACTCGGGAGGCTGAGGCAGGAGGATCACTATGAGTTCGAGACCAGCCTGGGCTACACAGGGAGTTCCAGGTAGGTCTCAACTACATAGTGAGACCCTGTCTCAAAAAAACCAAAAAACCAAAACAAAACAAAGAACGCCAGTTTTGGGGTGAGTGGGGACTGCGGAGAGGGGTCGAGGCATGACCCGCTCTGAGCCTCTGCCTTTCCTCCGTGCTGCCCACCACCCCGGGCACCGCCAGAAACCTCAGTGCGCAAATCAAGAAGCGACAAAACTCCCCGGGGCCGCATGTTCGCCGCCAGGCGTCTCCTGGACCCTAAGCGCTACAGGACGCAGGAAGGGTCGAAGGGACACCCAGGAGCGAGGAAGACAGGCGGAGGCTAGGAGTGGGTGGGCGCCGTTTCGCAGTCAATAGCGAGGCTGGGGTTCGGTGGGGTCTTCAGCCGCGACCCCAGATTTACGTGCCCACCGTCCTTCTCGTAAGAGCGACCCAGGGCGCCCCAGCCGAGGCCTGGGCGCCTCCCTCCCCGAGCGCCCCGGGGCCTCCCGGCTGGAAGCGCGGCTGCAGGGCAGGCCGGCTTCCTTCCTTGACTCTCCTGGCCTGCAGAGCAGGGCCTGCGTCTGTGGCAGTCACCCCGCGGTCCCCGCAGCGCGTCCCATCGAAACGCTCCTTACTTCGTAGCCCCGCTGGCCGGCAGTGTGGAGGGAGCGCTGCGCTGAGGCAGGGCAGCTGGGACCTCCGTGCGGGAAGGAAGAACTCGAATAAAGGAGAGGTCAAGTCTAGTCCAGGGTGACAGGAGGCCCCTCGAACAGTAGCCATCTGAGCGCGGGCACCGGAAGTCGGCGCGTCCACAGTGGCCGGGACACGACGGGGCTCACGGTGGTGCTGAGGAGGAACTTGGTAGAGCGTTAGTGAGTGTGGGGATCAGGTAGGTGATCGAAGAGGAACCTTAAGGATAGAAGAAAGAACAGACAAATTAAATCAGGAACTGCAGGAGCACTTGTGGAGACTCAGCAGGACTTAAATGTCCCTCAGGGGTCACAGGGCTGCAGGTTGGGCCTGCTTCCTTCACCTGCCTCCTCCGTAAAGCTTTCCGGGTAGACTCCAAGGGTCCCGGCGCAGCTTCCAACCCAGAGCAGTGAGGTCTTCCACCTCTGCAGGAGCTCTGCCCCGAGATCTTCTTGGATAGTTGGAGCCGCGTTTTTGCCCTTCCAGTCACGTCTGAGCCTTTGGCTCCCGAGGTAAACAGCACTTCCGGTGGGGGAGCTGCTCTTGCCCCCAGGGAAACGCCGCCTCCTCTTACAGTGAGGCTCCCCGAGACCGAGGGGGGCCTGTTGTGCAGTCTGCGTCAGCTTAATTCTCTACCTCTGTATTTCCCCTTACTTTGACTAAAGTTCACAGTTTGTTTCTAAGTAGGATTAGGAATAAACACTTGATAAGAAATGGGCCCCGCTAAACAGGATACAGAAGCAATTGCTGTTGCAGGATCTGAGGGAAGAAAGTGGACGACACTCAGTGATTCATACAGAGGGCGCTATTTAAACGATTAAATTTTACAGCGCGTATCGTGTTAACAGTGTAACTTTTCACTGAGTGATAATAGTGCCTTAACCTCCCTGAAATGTTGGTCTGTCCCCGACGCTGTTCCAAGAGTGTGCTTGCATCATCTGGTTTATCTGGAAACCAGCTCCTGAGATTGGACCTCAGGCCTTCTAAGTTTAGCAGCTGCGTCTCTCTTTTCCCCAAGTCAAGGCATCGCAGAATCCTGTGTGCTATGCCTTTTGTCCAGGTTTCAGGGCCTCGGACAGTTTTCTGCAGGAGTTAGTGGGTGGAAACGGTCGTGTCACCTACAAAGGGAGCGGATGAAGATGGCAAAAAGAGAAACAGACAGAATAAAGCTACAATAGCATCAGACCGAGTCTCGTGGGTTCTCCTGCACACTAGAATAAACAGAAGAGAGACTTCCACTGAGGCCCGGATAGCTCAGTCGGTAGAGCATCAGACTTTTAATCTGAGGGTCCAGGGTTCAAGTCCCTGTTCGGGCGTGATTACTTTTCAAATATTGATTTGTTTGTGGCTCAACGATTTGAAAATCGAGAGCTTATGTCATTTTACACCGAACACGAGCGAATTTAAACCTTTTAGGGTCTCGTGGGCAAATAAGTTAGCTAGAGGAAGCGAGGTGCACAGTGAGACTTCTGCTTGGGGTCCCCGACATTCGTTAAAAACCCGAATCTGCCAGGAGAACCCCAGAGGCGTGGCCCAATGTCAGAACTACCTGTTAATTCCACTTTACTGAAATAAATGGATCCACGCAATGAAGCCAGAATGGAGTTCCACGCCCTTCCTGAGGATGAAATTAAGGCTTTGGAAGTGAAGAGGTGACCGGACCAGGGCAGTTTGGCGAGAAGAGGCCCAGGGGTACTTCTGGACACGCGCGTTCGTGGACGTGGACGGACCCCGCCGAGCGAGCTGAGCCCTGCGCCTGCCGAGAGCCGCGCACCTCCCGGGGCGTCAGAGACTGGGACCTGCCCTCTCGCCGCCGCTCGGACTCCGGAGTCACCCGAGGCCGCTGGAAAAGGACTGCGACGGCGGATAAGGAAGGAAAGCAGTATCATGTAAGCGAATTACTGATCCTGTGGAGACACTGCTCATCAGATCCTGCGCTGGGCAGCGGAAACCCAAGAGCCGGACAAAGCCGGTTCCTTGATGGCTCAGTTGGCTCTCAGTCCGGGTGCCCGGGCCTGTGAGGGGAGGTCACAGGGACTACAGGACCACACCGTTGAATGCATCGCGGCCGCCTCTGGACTCGCGCAATTCCATCAGCAAAGACATCACTGCCAGTAAAGCAACACCCGAGGTTTCAGGAAGCCGAGCACTTTTCTCGGTGAAGATGGAAAAACGAGGACCACTTTACCTAAGGTGGCCGCGGCAAGCTTTCCCGAGTGCGCGACATAGAAATAGACGCGCGGGGGCAATTGAACATCAGGTTTTCATTGAGTTGCGTGGAAGGTTGTTCCAAGGAGGGAGTTTTATCAAAGGAACTTGGACAAAATAGTGTTTGTTGGGAAGAGAAGATGAGTGTCAAGGAGAATTAAAGGGCATGCGTAAGAACTTGGAAAACTAAACCAGGCGGAAGAAAACGGAGGCCTACTGACCACGCAAACCCAGGGTAACTGGAAAAAATTGCTCAAGTAGAGCTGAAGTTTGGTGACTAAAACGAGATGCCCCCTCTGAGGTTCGAACTCAGGACCTTCAGATTATGAGACTGACGCGCTGCCTACTGCGCTAAGGAGGCAGGCGATGAAAAATTTTCCTCATGGATTTTTAGCATGAGATTTTACTTCGTTGAAATCTGGGTTTCCGCACGGATCTCCTTCATTTTAAACTTCTAAAACGAGAAGCTTTTTCTGGAATTTAGTAAAAGCTTGACAGCTCTCCCGGATCTCTGCCCGGCCCAGGCTTGGCACCGACAGCACTCGCTCTCCCAGCTGGGAACAGGTCCTGGACTCCAACCGAGTACCGCGTGCGCGGGGTGAGGAATGGGGGTGGTCAGGGGTCGGGATCGAGGTTGGGGTCGGGGTTGGGCTTGGCGATGACGGCTGGGGACCGCGGTCCTGGGAGTGAGGGGCTTTTGTTTAGTGTCAGGTGTCTAGGCGTAGTTGGGGTGTTGTAGGTCCGAGTTTCGAGATGCCTAATGCTGTCGTGGTTCCCACAGTCTTGGGTTCGGAGGGGACAGCAGCGGCGGCTCAACCCCCTCATGTCCCCCTCTCAGGGCTCGGGGCAGGGTCCAGACCCCGCCCTCTGGGAAGCGTCTCTCCGATGATGGAGAAGGCGGCCAGAAACACCAAGAGCCTCCTGATCCACGTTCCCATCCGTCCCCCTTTCCCCTGTAAAGTGATCTCATTTCCGTGTGCGTGGAAACGATTTAGACCATCCGACCCTGGCCAGTTTCTGTCGCTGCTGTCCCTGACCACTGATGTGGCTCTGTGGCTTTCGGTCTGAATTACCGAACGCGGAAAAAGGAAATCCCAACCCACGTTCTGGCCCCTGGCAGACAGGACACAGGACCTTCCTTGCTCACTACAAAATATCCAGGGAGGTAACAAATCAGGGTGACAGGTAGAGCAGCCACCCTCCTTCTTTTACATCCTTGAATTTGGAACATGGCCTTGAAAGTTGTCTTCATAATCTGTATGAGCATTTTTAATGAAAGCATAAGAAACCGAAAATGGTTATTGAGATGTTTAAATTTAGTATAGATCTGGTTCATCTGCGCATTTGGCAGACAGTGAGAATATAAATCCTGGCAAACTGTAAATTTCTTACCACACAAAGTGAAAAGAAAAGCTGCCTGTGCTAAGAGGACTGGCTCTTCACCAGGGTCTGCAGATCTCCAGATGGTTACTAACCACAGGACAAAAGCTTGGCATCTGTCTTCATATTTATCTGTTTCCTTTTTTACCTAAACTTTGGGACATATTTCCATTCAGCTCTGCACATAGTAATCATTAAAGGAGTGTGCCATTGGCCCCACATTTGCCTTATCTCCTGCCTCTCCTTTCAAGATTGAAGACACCAAGATAAGGGCAACTTTCAGGGAGAGGATCGTCTGTAAAGTACTCAACTGACAAGCCCTATGCCAAGCAGACCCTGGGGAAATTTCACCAGACCTTGCACAAATAGCCTACACCAGGGTCTTTTCCTCATCTTATTGACATTTCAAAGGACTGAAAAGAGGATTGGATGGGCCTGAAAGGGTAGACCACACTAACAAAAATCATATAAATAAGATTTAAACATAATTTTTACAGTTGCTATCTTGGATTCCTAAGAGGGCATTTTGCCTTGTACTGTTTCTTTCTGCAATAATTCTGCCTTTGCTTTCACATTGCTTTTCTGTGTCTTGACTGAATTCTTTCACCAAGAGGACAAGGGCCTAGGATGAATTATACAGTCACTGCCCTTCCCCTGAAGGAAGATCCATTCCTAACTGATCCCGTTCTGGCCCCTACCTGCTCTCTCTCCTCCCCATCTCCCCCCAAGTCCCAGGAAGAAGGAGCCATTTGGTTGTCACCTTCCCAGCCCCAGCTCAGACTTCCTGCCCTGCTTCTGCTCTTTGCTTGTGCAACCCTAGCACCATTGTCACCCTCTGGAGAGGGGCCTCAGACTCTTGTCCTGGTTCCCAGGACTGCTGTACTGTATTAGTTTCCTTCCTGTGTCCACCACCACTGGGGTGGGCAGCCAAGCCTGATATGCTGGATCCCTAGAGTGGGACCTCTGACCTTGGACTCTGGTAACAAAATGTCTTCGTACAAGGCCCTGCTAAAAAAAAAATTGCAGTTTTGTTCACTTATTATGTTGATGCTTTCTGGGCTTATTACAGCTTATGGTTAGTTTTTTAGTTTCCTAAAAAATACAGAAATATTTAATGAGATATTTGGCTTTACAGAAATGGAAGGAAATAGCCTTTCAGGCTTATGTGCATACCAGAGGGCAGTCATTGTTGCTGGGCATAGAAGTGAGGCAAACATGCTGTCACACTGTGAACTAGGATTCTCAAAGGGGAATGCCCCTCTCCATTCTAGTGAAATACAGACTAGGTTGACAGTAAGATGGAAATTTATACTTTCATATGTTTGATGTGAAAGAACAAATTTCAAACAAATTTATTTTAAAAATAAAAACTACTATTATTTGCAGGTTATAAATCAAGTTGCTTCCTATTTGAAACAGAGAGAGGTGATCCAGTGAATTGAGCAGAGCAGGTGGGGCTTGTAGACAGAAAAGGCAAAGGAAATTGGTTATTTCTAAGTTATTTTCCTTGCATGATTCACGCATGCCGGCTTGCAGGTAGTTGGGCCCCTTTCTATTGGTTACTATGAAACTCCTGTGTTCTGTTTCTTTGGTTAACTCATGGACCTTTTTAAAGTTCAGTCTGATAACTTAGCATAAGAAACTATTCTGATCTGTTCTGGTCTGCTGCTGGGGCGTGGGAAAAGAAGCAGGTCACTCTCAAACAGTGAACTCTCACAGAAATTTTATTTAGTAATGCTATGTTGTATAGATTATGGCAAAGACTCTTAAACTGAAAAATTTATCTTTGAAATAAGGTTCCTTCAGAATGTAATAATAATAATAATAATATAATAATAATAATAATGTTTAAAAAGAAGCACAGAAGGCAGTCAAGTGAAACGATTCTCTCAGTTTCTTTACTGGGAGGATAAATAAGATTTACTTCATGAGTTCAGATTTCTGCCATGTCTTAAACCACTTTCCCTGAGGAAGAGCAGGGATTATGGTTTGTAACTAGGTGACTCTCCAAAACCTCATGTGCCCAGAGGCGGGGCTTGTGGAAGGTGGTTAGATTATGGAGTGGCAGCCAGTTTGACTAGGAGGAAGGGGTGAGACCTTGAGGCTGGCCTGGAAGGGGACATCCCCATCCTGCTGCTCCCATCCCGCAGCTTCCTGGCTGAGACATGTGAGCAGCTTTCTCAGCCCAGAGCCTTCTGCCAGGCTGGAGACCATGCAGGGACCCAAACTTCCAAAATGGGAGCCCAAATCAACCTTCCCTCCTTTAGGTTGTGGAAGTTGGTTATTATCTTAGTTGCTTTTCTTTTGTTGCTGAGACAAAATACCTGACACCCAAAGTTAAAGGGGAAAGAGTTTATTTAGCTCACAATCTGTAGAGGTTTAATCCATAATTGACTGGCTCCAAGGCAGAGTGGCACATGAGGGGCATCGCAGAGGAGAAACAGTTCATGGCACCCAAAGGGTAGCAAGAGCAACAAAGGAAACTTAATAGCACCTTTCTGCCCTTTATATCTTATCCAGACTAATGGGAATAGTGTGGTGCCAAACCAATTGGTGTATTGATTTAGTAATCACATGCCCCCAATCCCAACAATACACCCTCTAGAGTCAGCCACTTCTGAAAGAGCCACCTATGACCACACGAGGCTTTGGGGGGACATCTAGACACAAGTCATACAGGTATCTTGTCTGAGATAAGGAAAGTGACTAAAAGGAATGGTTATGAGGTAGGATAGAATAAAGATATATGGAAAGGAGAGAGGGAAAATGACAGCTAAAAAAATTGAAGCTGAAGTGTATAACATTGGGTTACAACAACCCATCCCATACTTTTCTACTAAAATTTTGTATTTTAGCATAATAGTAGCTAGCTGTGCATCTCAGTAGCTGTGCCTGAGGTATACAGGAAGCAATCTTCATGTTTATCCACTTGGTATGATGAATGGCAAGATGTGTGCATGTGTGCAAAAGTGTCAAACTGGGATTTTTACCCACAAAATGCTCCATCTAACAAGTTTTGCATGTGTTTATCTCAGTATCACATGGAGTACAATACACCCAGACCACATTCCTGTCACAAAAATGTGTATTTTATCATAATAAAATGTGGGTGGGACTCATAATTGCTGCACTGGGGAAAGCAAAAGCCCAGCTGTGCATTTACCCACTTGGTAGACAAATAGCAAAGTGTGTACAGGAGCTCCAAAGCAGCAACAGGTGAGGGCAACCCATGAAATGCTGCTCATTGCTGAATTTCTGTGCATTTAGAATTATTATTATTGTTATTATTTTTGTACCACAGATCAAACTCAGGACCTTGTGCCTATGAGGCAGGCAGCAGAACCACTGAGCTAAATTCCCAACCCCCTTAGAATTTGTTTTTTAAAAAGTTTTCTTTTGATTTTTCTGGTAGAAGTAGTCTAATTCAGTACAGTGGCACATGAAAAACTGGATTTGTAAATTTTGGAGGAAGTCAAAAGTGAGTCATCAGATTACTCATGCATGGATAATGAAGATGA